AATCGGTTTGCGGCATCATACATACGACCCCAGGGGGAGGATCCTGTAAACTTTTGGACCACACCCCCTCGGCGCAAGGGGGTGTGGTCGCAGTGTGATCGGGGCAAAATGAGATTTGTAGCGCAAATTAATCTATGGATGAAATCCAGTTGAATGACGTGTACCTGAGTTGTGCCACACCCCCTCGGCGCCAGTGGGTGTGGTCGCAGTGTGATCAATTAATTAATTCTAATGAATTAATGAATCAATCATTAATTAATGAATCAATGAATCAATGAATTAATTCAATTAATTAATTGCGCAAATTAATACTCAGCATTCTCAGCATTATTGCGCTACTTATGTATCGTGCTTTGCCGCACTTTATTTACGTGTAAAATAATTTAACACATAATTCCATCCTTCAGCCATGTGCATAGAGATTTTTCAGCAATAAATGAAATATGTCAAAATTGATTAATAGTTTATTTTGGGTCCTACATCCTTAATCTAGGAATTCCTTCTGTTTAGATAAATCGGTAATCAAATTGCGTCTTTCTTCTTGTGACATCTGATTTGCCTTGTTTTTAAAACAGTTGTACAAATTCGTTTAGCCCTTCCCGCTAACGTTGCCCCATTATATTTCCCGTATTCGAAAACATCGAATTCACGAGATTGTAGCAAGTGAGCCGACTTTTATGCTACTTTATGACAAAATCGATAACCGTATGTTATCTTTCTCATGTTTTGATACCGATATTGGATTCTGGATGTCAATGCGTGGGTATGAATGAAGGGAAAGAAAGTGCAAAAAATTGAGTGAGAAGGACATCATCTAAATCTTATCAAAGAGCTGTCCGATTCCATTTTGCATATACATATGTATCTGATTCGTGAACAGGCTTTCTACAAATTTTCCACCGTTTGAATCCCCATGTCAAAAGTCGTAACGTATGTATGTATGTCATCCATTTTGTAATCCTAATCCATACAGGCTGCATGATACTTTGCACCAATTATTATTTATTGGTGGAAATATGACGGACGTGCATGCATATGTTCAAAGTGTTTCGGGTGCAACCACGTGCAAGAAATAACTGCAAAAAAGTGAGTTTTTGCAGGTATTTTGACCTGCAAGGTGTGAGAAACCACGCCCCGTCGCTGTACTTCATACGGCGCGTGTTTCTTGCGCTTTCTCCCAGTTTTTTGCACCTCCCATTTCTTGCATTTCTTCCTTTGCAGTGCAAGAAATGTAGCAAATCTTCAAGAAACAAAACACTGCACACTCACAAATACTTCATGAGTACATATGTACATACTTATATACATACGATTGTAAAAGTCCAAATTCAGCTGTCGTGGGTTGAGTGAATTACCCCGACAACGTGTTATCATTATTTCATGTCTAAATATGTATGTCTGTAAATTTTACAATGTCTGAGAATTTTGAGTAATTGGTGTCATTTTTTTAGAGTCTGAATCAGAGAGTCAGTAGGGTCATTATTTCATGTACGTATGTCAAGTTAGTACTTATGCATGATTACTGATGCCCGATGTATGTACTCTAAAGTAATAAAGCCAAGTTTATAAGTTGATCAACACAAGTCGTTGTTCAAAAGTATATTTCGGAAGACATAAGTCGTCGCCCGAAACATCAGCTATGAAGGTAAAAAATGCCTTGAAATGAGTATGAAATAAGAATTTAGAATTTCAAACGTTTCATAAAAGCGAGACCCAGTGGTCAAAGGGAAGGGTTTGATAAAACAATTTTAAAAAAGCTTGCTTAGGTGAGGCGCTGTTAAAAGTGAAAAACAAGACCTCTGGGGATCTCTTTTAAATATCTCATCCCCTCATCATTGTAACAGGAATTGGTGCTTTGCATCACCGCGAGGCCAAACATTTTTACCATATAACATTAACATGCCACCCCGTTTATTACACACAACGACGAAAACACAAATTACATTTGCTGCTAAGAGTATACAAATTTTAGATATTTATTACAAATTAAAATTGTGCCAATATATGTACGTATGGATTAATACTTAAACAAACGATTATTGCTTCGGACGGCTTGTAAGTAAACCTTAGTTGAGTTTGCTAAAACTTGCGGAGGATGAAAATGATTCATAATTTACCAAGTAGCAAAATATCTTTATATAGCTACCAATTTAATTCAATGGTTAACCAGTACTTCAGCCAGCTAATAAAATTTGAAGGACGTGTACAATTTTCCGCACGTCTTATGCACTTCACTTCAACCACGTTTGACGAATTTCAGAAATGTTGTCTCGGTTCGTTAATTTAAGAATAGTATTTCCGTCTTGACCCATGGCTGCATTAACAATTACAGTTTTGTCAACGGTAGTAGATATGTATTGAAATATTAGCTATTCAAAATAACTAAATACAATAACCGTTTGTATCAAGACTGGTGTAACTATTAGATATTTCTTAATTTTATGGGAAGATGTAAGGTTCAATAATGTACCATACCTATGTGGCATGCGCTGTGCGTCATTATTTATGTGGGTTTGTATTTTAAGAAATGAAAATGCCGACGAATATATTTGGAGGACACCACAGAGGATATTTTCAAATTGTGTTTAATAGTACAACTAGTTTTCAATACGAATGAGAATGTGATAAATGATAATTTTGATAAGTTCGTAAACCCAGATTTTGCTCTAACGAATTATTTTGACTGTTAGAAGCTTAGCGTAAAATGTTTGGCCTCGCGGTGATGCAAAGCACCAATTCCTGTTACAATGATGAGGGGATGAGATATTTAAAAGAGATCCCCAGAGGTCTAGTTTTTCACTTTTAACAGCGCCTCACCTAAGCAAGCTTTTTTAAAATTGTTTTATTTTATTGATTTTAAGGGTTATGCATTTTCAGACAATTCATTACACTGGTCGAAATTGTTCATTTCAAATATTGTCAGCTTTTTTAAACTGAAGACAAAATACAAAATTAGTTGAAAATACCCATAGGAGGTTGACAAACTAATTTACCACGCGTTTCAGAAACTCTAATTTAATATTTCACATCACTGGTCGAAATCGGTTAAATAATTTGGTGATTGCTTTCGCTGACAGAGCTGGCTGAGAGTGGAATTGCTTTTCTTCTCGGCTTATGGATTAATGATAATCGTCAATCCCGATTAATAATCAGGATTTACCACAACTTCAACCAGCAAGTATGCCTTCAATTGTTTTCTAAACTCTGTTTCATTTCTGGTGATATCAGCAGGAAAGTCACGTGCTCATGTTAAGTAAATGGGCACATGACTTTCCCGCTGATATCACCAGAAATGAAACAGAGTTTAAGCGGTCATTCGGTTGGTTATATTGAAACAGTTTATATAAGGTACACATGTACCAGTGTTGCAACATTTCATAACATAACTACTCCTGTTTTTTACGATACGATCTTCGACGTCATCACTCTCATTACTAATAGCATTGCAGTGGTGACTTGGAGGGTCATATCGTAAACGGACTGTAGCTCTATTTATAGAAAATTTTTATACTGGTTGTTAAGAACAACCAGCTAAGAATATCGTAATTCTGATGAAGAATGCTTAGCAACATGAGTAGTGTCAGATGCCTCCATCAAAACTTTTTCAGTTTTAAACCGATCTCCATCGGATTTGCTTTAAATGATGTACAACCGATTTCTGCATGATAAAATCAGGTTTTATGCATATAGTCATTTGGTGCAAGTGTCTCAAATTTCGATTCTAAAGTTTCAATTAGAGAGCCCACGATACAACTTTTCTACCGAGAAAGCTGTAAAACATCATCTCCTCGTTCTCCTCTGCACGATTGCCTTTTAAACTTTTTGGCTATCTTTAACCGTTTAGGCTCTACCCCTCTTGACATTTTCAAAGGGTGTATACGAAAGCATACTTAGGCTTCGCCGTAACCATGGTGACACTTTTTTTCGGGCACCCACGTTTACTTTTGCCTCACCTAAGAAAAATATACTTCATAAATTAGGTGCCAAATAATAGAAAATAGTTAACACATATTCCATCATATCTACTTGGTTGGTAATTAATAGTTTGGTCTTTATCATCGCACAAAAATTTAGAAACGATCATGACTCCGACGAAATATGTCAAGTCTTCAATGCAGTTTTTTAATTTAAAATTGTCTCTTGTTTTATTATTAGGTCGCGGCTCGTGAAACGGGGACGGGATTAAGTATTTACTTGATATTAAAGTACTTAATTGGAGCTGCGTTTACTTTAGTGAAGGCAGCTCTTTGGCTGTTTCGGTTTTTGGCTGGTTTGCTACTTGCTGTTTTGAGAAGAGATCCATACGAGGATGCAGACATTGCCCACTATGATTCTTTAGTCAGAAGAGGTACAAACTAGAAAAAATTGAAATTGAGTGCAAAATTAGCAGATTTTATTGATTTTATTTTTTTAGAAATTGAATTGAGCATGGAAGAAGAATTACGGAAATTACGGGAAGCGACCGAATGCAAAATTTGTATGGATGCCAAAGTTGAAGTTGTTTTCTTGCCATGTGGACACCTCGTGGCGTGCACGCGTTGTGCAAGGGCATTATCGAACTGTGTAGTTTGTCGTCAGCGTATAGAAAGTTCCGTCAAAACTTACCTGTCTTAAAATAATTATAACTACAGATTTTCAAATGTATGCATGTGCCACCACCGTCGACCAGTTTTAATATATATGTTGGATAAATGATCGTGATTAAATAAAATCATGTTGTGCCACTGTAATGATAACAAGTTATAATAGTTATAAATTGATTTGATTCAAATGGATCTAATTGAGAATGCGATTATAAAAAAATTCAAAATCATAAATTAGGAATTAGCAATTCAACAAGTGCTGAAAGAGCAATTTAAGCATGGTTAATAAATAATTAGGTGGTAAATTAATTAGTCTAAAGTTTTTGTGCAAGTGTGACGCTGTGCAGAATGCATCCAGTGAAATGAACGAAGAGGACAAACAAGTATTTTAGTATTTTACACATTTTTTTACGGTTGACTATATTGCAGACTTCCTTTCATTGTATGAGTATAATTACTTTTTAAAATTTCATAAGTTTTCCCATTGTTTCATAATTTTGAGTAGATTGCATGTAGATATTTTACTGCATGGCTGGGGGCACATCTATGGCAGGATTTTCCAGAAAGAAGTTGTAAGGTTTTAGCCAAAACCCGGTCAACCTGTAATCATAAAATCTTAAACTTTGTTCTATTACGTAGTAGATTAATTATCTGCGTCATCTCTCTCAGAAAATGGAGGTCTCCCAGCGTATGCTCTCAGAATTTGAGAAAACTAGTGTGAATCGATGGCAAATTTGATTAGTATGAAATTTGCGAAAGACACGATCTCCCAATGGGCACGTTTGGCAGAGATATTTGTATCTGAAGAGGAGAAAACGCGCCTTAAAGTTGACAAATTTTACACTTTCCAAATTTACTGCACGATTACTCCTCTTTGGATGCAAATATCTCTGCCAAATATGTGAATTTGGAGACCGCGTTTTTTCCAAATTTTATGCTAATGAAATTTGTCTTTGGTTGACATTAGCTTGGTCAAAATCTCTGAGCATGCGTTAGCAGGAGACCTCCATTGTCAATGGCCGCGGAAGATGTGGGGACGTCTGGGGCATTAACATTGTAGGATAGTTGAAGGGGTGTATATAAATAACCGTGGGGTCATTGTCCCTCTGCGTCCTCACCCTTCCGCGGCCACTGATCTCTCTCTCTCTCTCTTACTCAACGCTCATCAACGGGTAGTCCTCAACTCTTGGGATGTGACACGTCCCAAAATTATGCCAAACTACGACATCCTCCTTCTCAACATTAGCATCCGGCTGGCTCCCCACCCAAACCGGAAGTCCACTATTATTCAGGTAAAATCCCCCCGGAAAAAGCTCATCCTCCTTGAACTGGGTGACCCACACGTCCCAATTCAAAAAACCCGCTCTTGTCCGTAACTTACTGTCCTCCCTCATCAAAAGTGGGGGCGAGTTTACCGGTATCAACTTCCAGGCGACCGGTTTCCCCGTATAATTATGCAGCACGGAGGGATTCATGATCGTCCAGGTGCGCCCGGTCAGCGGCGAAATCTTTGTCCGCGCCTCCCCCGCGGTTCTTAATAACGTTTCGTTTACCGTAAAACCTTGTCCGTACGGATTTTGGGCGTCATTTTTCAGGGGGACGACGTCCATCGTGGCGACGGAGTTGTACGTCCCGTCAATTTCCGTGTCTAATCGGACCGTAAAGAAGTGCTGATGGTGCTGAGCGTTGACCTTGACCGCGGTCGGGGTTCCGAACCCGGATCGCGTCGCCCACGCGGCAATCATGCTCGTGCTGACGCTTCCGGTTAATCCTGCCACGAATTGGATGGACCCATCCTGGTAAAACTGCCAGGAAAAGGTGTAGTCGTAATTGCCCAGGGTGAACCACGTGGAGAGCACGAGGCGGTGGGAGCGTGCGATTAATCCCTGGCCGGTCCGATAGTCGGCGTGTTGCCAGGAAATCCCGGCGTCTTCTTCTCTCAAGGAGATGGCGTTTTTGTATGGGACGGGGCCGCCGGTCGTGTTGTGAAGGACGGCGGAGAAGAAATGGACGGTTCCGAGGACGTCTTCGTGCAGGGTTTGTTGATCCGTGTGGTAACCGAGGCCGTATTCGCCCATGTCGTAAACCTAAAGGGGGGAAAAGTAGGGTGAGATGGTGAGGTTTTGGGGGATATTGATGATTTGTTAACTTGCAGATTTCCGGTGGAAAGGTGGTCTTCATAGGAGAAACGTTAATAAATTTGAGTAAAAATTGTGATAAATGTTGTTAGCATTGGATTCGATTACTAATCAGAAAAATCATCAAGATTAGCATGTTTTTAATTAGTTCTCGTCTGTAAATTCTGGACGACAAATATGTAGAGTAAGTCGTGACCAATGTTTTCAAAGTATGCGCTCCAGATTTTGACACTTTTTGGTAGAGGAGATTTCAAGTTTAGGAAGCCTTCAGAAAAATTGAACCTCGTGGAAACTGGATTAAAAAACACGCCGCCATTCCATTAATCAACTCACTGACTACGAATTTGTCGTTCAGAATTTTAAAATAAATTCCCAGAGCGGAGAAATTATTAAAAAGGTGTTAATTTTGACAATGTTCGTTATCGAACTCTAATTAATTAATTAGTGTAATAAATAATTACCTTGGGTCACCATACGGAACAAAAATCTCAGTTACGGAGGCACGATAAAGGATTGGGCGCCTTCGTCCGTCATCATTGTAACTCACCATGTACACCACCATACCTTCACGACCGTTAAATCCCACCCGCATTTTCCACTTTTGCCACTGAATTTCATTCCCAAGGATGGAATATGGTCCCAGAGGGGATGAGGTTGTTATTGGGTTGTCATCTTGCCGAAAAAAGCTATCTCCACCTCGATAATGATAGTCGTAATTTGCCTCAATCTACACAAATATGTAGGAAATTATTTGCAAATAAGTATGAAAATTTCAATTTCTTTCTTGCAGAAAATTGGGCGGATTTTCTGCACAAATTTGGATGATTTTTGTGCAAAAAAGCTTTATGCAGAGCGACATGTGCATAAATTATGCAGATTTTGCAGAATTTTGCATAAAATAGACCGTTGTGCAGAATAGAACAGAAATTTTCTGCAGAATCATGCAAACTTTTCCTGATCTTAAAGGCGATTTCGATACATACATACAGGAGTTGCTTACCTTTGGGGCAGAGTTAGCAGTATTGTTCGTACTAAAATTATTATGCGTTGGTAAATCTTCTATTGCAATTACTTGACGCAGATCCAAATCCACGATGACAACAAAATCGAGTGGATGGGCTACAAATGTATGTATGCAAATATTAGTGAATACACTGTTCATTACTAATTACTACATACATACTTCAGCCCCTCTTTGTGTTACACCTGACTAACCGTAATAATTGTCACCGGCAAAGTTCTTCCCAAACATAAAATATTGAACGATACGTTTTCCTCGATATTCTGGTCTGTCCTCAACATATCCCATAGTCCAGGGAGCACCTACGACCAAGTTCATATTCGGATACCCCAGCGAGGCACACCTTTCCTGTACCAGTTCATTCGTCAACACGATTTCCTGTGCATAATAAATAAATGTACAAATCTATAATGCGGACTTATTTTTTAAAAAAAATGGTAAGACTCGATAACTCATCGCCAAAACCTTCAAAATCGTCAAAATTACCACATTTTTAACCATTTCTTTCTTTGTTTCTTTGTTTATCTTTGTTTTCTTTGGGAATTTATTTTAAAATTATGGACGGTAAGTTTGAAGTCTGAATAGAAGGGTGGATTTTTTAAATTAATGTCAATCAGTTTCGAATATTTTTTAAACTTTGAATCTCCTCCTACAAAATGTGTTAAAATCTGGAGTGTATATTTTTTATAAAATTGGCAACGACGCTCTCTACAAATTTGTGGTCCAGAATTTTAAAATAAATTCCCAGAGCCGAGAAATGATTTAAAATGTGCAGATTTTGACCATGAGTCATCTTGTCCTGGTTCAATTTGTCCGTACAATTTCGGGTTTCAGTAAGTCCACCGGAGTGAAGGGGGCTTGAACGTTGTAAATCCTGATGTAACTTTCTTTCTGTTTCGTACCCAAGTTTACGACGGCTTCGTACACGAATTTGGTCGCCCATTCGATAAGGACGAGGAAAGCTTTGCGGGGGTAGATATTCTCCGGGGGGATCGAGTCTTGGAGAAAGAAGGGCAAAAGGACGGACTTTGGGGGTTCGAATAGCGCAATATAGTTGTAAATGTATCGAGTAGCGTTGTCTCCTTTATTCGTCTCGATTATCTGGACCGCACTCTGAATTTCGTCATGTGTCAAAGGGTCCAAAGGGTGTTTGGCTTCAGCTGTGCATCAATTCATTATCAGAGGGCGGATATGTATTTACTTTAAACTTTTTGATTTGATGACGGTCAAACTTTGTGGGAGCATAACTCACATAAATCACTAAAATTTCAATATATTTTTACATGTTGTTGCAAATTTCTAAAATTTCGGAAATACATATTTCAAAATATTTCCGCTATTATTTGTAAAATATGCAAATCTAGTAGTAGATATTTTGATTCAAAAATATATTTTATTTTATAAATATTTCAACGATGTGAGACGATATTTTTTTTCTTAAAAGAAATTCACAAAACAGAGCATTGAATCAACAAACTACACATTTCGCGAGAATTCTAATTTTTATGCATTTGTTTTTCGTACATATTTTGTAAATATTTTTACATTTATTGCATACATAAATATTAAATTCATATTTCAGCGATTTTTCGTAAATACATATCCGCCCTCTGTTTATATTTATGCCGGTCAATGATAGTTGTTAAACGAACCTTGATTTCTGCATGTTTCCTCCGGGAATGGCGTATGCTTGAAGTCAGCCTGATGCATTTCCAGGGACGCTAAACAACCACGAATTGCAAAGGCAAGAAATACTAGCCTCTGCATTTTAAAGTAATTAATTGATGATCCCGAGTAAAGGAAGAGGAATCAAAGCTTGGAAAATAATGACTCCTTCATTCACGTAGACAACTAATTAATCAATACTTAAATAACAAGCTAACCTATATTCATCTTAATTGAGGCTATATGTGCATTATCTAATAATCTCATTAATTAGACCCAGCATGATCCAAAGGTAAGCATAAAATTACTTACGCATTATAATGGTTACATCACGATGCAGAAGTATGTAGACTGCCTGCGTAGGCGGAATACAACTACCTAACAATTACGCTGCTACCAGTGGCCGCGGAAGCCGTGGGGACATCTGGGGACATTGTCATTGTAGGATAGGGGAGGGGTTTATATAAGATGGGCAGATGATGGGGACATCGAATATAGGTGGGGACATTGTTCTTCTGTCTGCGGCCACTGATTGTACCATTAAATCTGCGACCTGGAGAAGCAGAGGCGACCTTTGTATATTTTTAGATTATTTATGGCATGTAAATAGTAAGTAAGTACCTGAAATTAGAGATTTTTTGTATTTTTTTCTGCATGTATACATATGCAAATGGACCAATTGTTATGGATTGACGTTGAGTACGACAACTCTGGATCTGTAGTCTTTTAACAGTGACCGCGGAAGCTGTGGGGACATCTGGGGACATTAACATTGTAGGATGGGGGAGGAAGGGGTTTATATAAGATGGGGAGATGATGTGGACATCAAATAACCGTGGGGACATTGTCCCTCTGCGTCCCCACCCTTCCGCGGCCACACGTCGTTTACGACAGTATTTATGCACCACGCATTATAAACGGGGCATGTCTGATCTGACCGACAAACTGCTCTAATAAGGGGAACTTATGAACCGAAGGAGAAATAAGGGGTCCCACTGAGACATTTAATCTTTGCAAAGTTTTCCTGAGGTGGAAGGCTCGTTAGGGGCCGTCCGTAAATTACGTAGCGCAAAAAGTGCGAATTTTAAGACCCCCTCCGCCCTCCTTCAGCACGTGTAACATAGGCAAAATTTCATTGAAGCCTAAGACCCCCCCCCCTTCCCCCCTCTCGCGTTCCGCAATTTATGGACCGGCCCTTCCGCTATTACGCAAACTTTTTTTATACCCCAGTTCACCTCAACTTTTAAACTTTGGTGTTATTATGCTGACACATTTGTTCTTGGCCGACATGATTTTCACTTTAAGGCGACATATTAGTATTCACTTGGAGCTTGTTTCGCTTCACGGTGATTGCATGATCGGTTCAGTTTTGTAAGTGGTGGTGGTGGAGCCTTATTATTTTATGCACCAGATAAGTTTTTAAATCCTGTCAATTTTGTCGCTTATTTTCCAACCCAAAATAAATCGAAGAAAGGAATAAAAAAGGGGGAAAGTGATTGGTCTGATAAATCGGGCCTTCCTTCCTAGCTACCCGGCTTAACTATATATCACTAACCACCACAATCTAGCAGTGGCCGCGGAAAGGTGGGGACAGAGGGGTAATGTTTCTACAGTTATTATTGTCCCCACAGTTGTTTGATCGGTCCATGCTATAAACCCCTCTCTCCCTATCCTACAATGGTAATGTCCCCACGACTTCCACTGCCCCTGCAACTCATCAGTGGCCGCGGAAGCGTGGGGACAGAGGGACAATGTCCCCACAGTTGTTCGATGTCCCCGTCATCTGTCCATGTTGTATAAACCCCTCCCTCCCTTATCTATATACAATGTTATTGTTCCCCTATGTCCCCACGGCTTCCGCGGCCACTGAGAAAGATTACACATACTTAATCTATACACATTAAGACATGGTTTAAGATTTTATGACCACAAATTGACAGAGTTTACAACTTTACAACTTCTTTCTGCAAAATGTCCCCACAATTCCTCACAGCTTCCGCGGGCACTGTCACCCCCATACTTTTACATCTACCTGGACCTCTAGATGAGATTCAGAATCACATAAAAAGTTATTACCCGACTTCTTCTTTTGGATGGAAAAGAGAAACCTGTTCTTTATTATTGGAGTGGAGAAATTCCACTTTCTTCTCCTCACACAAATTCCCATTCGGGGAGGAAACCAAGTGAAAGGAGGATGAAGACATTTCTGACAATGCGATGGTGTGAAGTGTAACCCTCCGATTTGGCTGAAATTTTAAAATTAGGTGGTCCAAGCCAATACAACTAACGTTTCTTCAGGCAGTTTGTGCGATGGTGAGAGTTACTCAAAATATTTGAGGTCAAAGTTCAAAAAACGGCCGACTTTTTTCAGGCGGAGTGAGAAAACTCCACTTCCATTCTCTTCCCCTCGCTTTGATTTTCACTCCGAAAAATAATTCATTTCAACAATTTTAAATTTAATTTTTTATAGAAAAATATTAATTATTCATTCCACATGTGACTATATGATTATTTTCATAAAAGTTCACAAAACAATACGATAAACTGCACCAGCTGAATTTGATGAATGTGGGATTGCCACAATTCAGGTCGCAACTAATATTTTTTTCTCTAAAACAAACTTCGCTTACATTTTTAAACTCGGGCTTTTCGTCATCACCCCATGATCCGCTTGAGTACCAACAATATCGAATCACAGGAGCATTTAAAATATTAATATATAATTGGATATTAGAATAACCAACGCTTTCGAAGTGGAAAGCAAGTTAAGTTTTTCCATGTTTATTTGCCGTTGGCGAATTTATAAATTAACTTTTATGTAAATTTGTACTAGAAATAAGTAAAAATCTCACTTATTTAATTATAAATTAAATTAAGTATGTATAATGCGTATTAATTGCTCTTTAAGCTATAATTAATAATGTTTATTTTTTATTATTTTGCATCAAAGCTTGTGCTTGAGCATGAAGGCGTATGCATGAGCGAGACGCCTGAATAAAATCAAAGCGAGGGGAAGAGAATGGAAGTGGAGTTTTCTCACTCCGCCTGAAAAAAGTCGGCCGTTTTTTGAACTTTGACCTCAAATATTTTGAGTAACTCTCACCATCGCACAAACTGCCTGAAGAAACGTTAGTTGTATTGGCTTGGACCACCTAATTTTAAAATTTCAGCCAAATCGGAGGGTTACACTTCACACCATCGCATTGTGAGTTCCGAGCAAAAAAGACTGGAAAACGGAACACATTCGTTTGAACTCTCATCTTTTAAAATTTTGTCATCATCATTTAAACCTGGCCCTGGATTTCTCCGGATCGGTGACCGTTTCTTGGCTTTCATCTCATTCTCTGTGCTGGGAAAATGAATGAGGTCTCTAATGTAACGTTGGCTCAACCAGTGGCCGCGGAAGCGGGGGGACAGGGGGACATTTACCCACAAGAAATTCAGAAAAAAATCACATCGTTCCCATTTTAATGAGCCCTTCCTCCTCATTCTATCTTAAATTTACTAATGTCCCCACATGTCCTCCTGACTTCCGCCGCCATTGGCCTTAACAGCCAACTGACCGGGAAATGAATGAGGCCTCTAATATAACATTGCCTCAACGAGTGGCCGCGGAAGCAGGGGAACAGAGGAACATTTTCCCCCGGAAATTCAGGAAAAATCTTATCTTCCCCGTGTTAGTAAGCTTCTATCTTACAATGTTAATGTCCCCACATGTCCCCCCCCACTTCCGCAGCCACTGACACCATCAACAAGGAACTACTGACCGAGTTGGAACGGAACGGAAAGGAACACGGATTCAGTTTTTTTTTCTTTTTGCAGCCGGTATTTACAATGTTTTGAGATGGCTGGATGATGATAAGGGAAAGACTTTGGGAGATAAATTGCTCAAGATTTTGTCCTTATTTCTCCTCTTTTCGGGTTGTGTTATTAACGAGCGGAACGAAGTGAGGGGTACTTATTGTGATCTATTTGTCTGTCTGTCTGTCTGTCAGTGCGTCTGTAAGTACGATAATTCTAAAACGAATCAACCTTTTTGAGTTCTGCTTTCGGAGATCGACATCTAATTTTAAAATTGAGAAGGAGTTCGTTAAGTGACCTTGTAGGTCGAAAGGTCACAGTGATGAGGCAAAGGTCAAATATGTCGAATTTTTTGTTTTGACTATTTTAGACTTAGTTTGGGGTGAAGGTATTTCAGAAATCGGCCAAATTTCGACCTATGGTGATACTATAAATTGGGATACTATATGGTGATACTATAATATCATTGGTCATGAAATGACAAATGATGCCCCTCGTTTCCGCTAGTTTATTATATCCATTGCTAGAGTTTATTTATTTACTTGCAAAATGTGAAACTGGGTTTAAAGAGAAAGCAGAATAAGCGTATCAGCGTACCCACAACGAGTTTGTCCCTTCCTTTTATTCGCAATCTATTAAATGCGCACAATTTGTTCTTTTTATTACCATGATAATCTCAACCGGGTCTTAAAGTTTGACCTCGTCTGCATACATGGAAACTTTGGAGGAAAGGGTTAGTAAAATGGGAACGTGTCTTCTACATACGTTCGTTGTGAAATTTTAGCACTTACCCAATTTTGCAAAAAAATGCAAAAATCCTGTGTCTGTGTGTGGGTAGTACCTATTGGAATTTGGCTTCATACATAATTGCATTGGCACGAGGACTAATAAAACCCACAAGTTTCTACTCACCACGCCACGCGGAGTATTCAATAATGTCACATGAAATTGACAAAGTGTGGAGAAAAGTGATTTTCATTTGGTCACTTTCCCCCATAAAATTCCATTGTAGTGTTGGTTGCGTAAGTAAATGATGAGTTTGTTCATCCCTATTGAGCCTTTAAACTGGGGGGATGTACAAATATTACGTCATCGAAAGGTGGGTGGGTGGGTAGTTTTGGGTCGGTTATCTTACTCGTGTTAAGCTTAACAATGGAAAGATAGGGAAGTGGTGGGTTGTTTGTTATTAAAAAATTGAATTTCTCAAAATTAGCAAAAAAATTCGCACATTTTGGCTTAAAACTGAATAAGCGCCCCCAATTCTTCTAAAGATTCTTCTAAAGATTTCGCAAATTTTAAGCCATTCATACATCAAAATCGTTAGAGAGCGAAAAAAAGCTATTTCATTGTATGAAACGCTATTGTAAGTTATACGAAAAATGCAATTATTTTG